TCCTCTTCCTCTTCCTTGGGAATTAGAGGTACTAACATTGAGCTTGGATTGAAAGGCACTTTCAATTGACTTTTCAGATTGCCTACTCAACCTTTGCTCAAATGCTTTAATTGAACCCATCAATTCTTCAATACTCAAATCAGCAAGATCTTTAGTTTCTTCAATGACAGCAACAATGGGATTGTATTTCTCCGGCAAACTTATCAAAATTTTCTCAACAACTCTTTGATTAGTAATATTATCCCCATAAATTTTCATTTGGTTTACAAGTTCCATAACCCTAGAAAAATAATCCTTCAACAATTCCATATCCTTCATCTTTAAATTTTCAAAATCTCTTTTCAATGATTGAAGTTTGATGGTTCTTACCTTCAAGTTGCCTCTATACTCTTTCTGAAGAATATCCCATGCCTCCTTCGCTTTTGTTGCATTGACTAACTCCCAAGTCTTGTTCTTCTCAATCACATGAATTTCATCTTCCATTGCTTTCTTCCATGCTTCATCTTTAATTGCCTCTTCAAAATTTTCAGGTTCAACAATGCATAAATTGCATCTTGCATACACATCACTAAGACTCCTAATATTTCTTGGAGTTATATTTCTTGGAGTTGAACTTGGAGATGAAGAACTTGAACTTGAACTTGAACTTGGAGAAGATTGTGAACTAGCAATTGGTGACACTCTTTGTGGAGATTCAAGAGTTGCAACATCTTCAACTTGTAGACTTTCCGATTCTTCATTGAAAGCAATGCTTTGATCTTGGACTTTCTTTTCCTTCCAATCAAAAGACGCCTTCTCATCAAAGAGAACATCTCTACAAATAATCACCTTCTTTTGATCCAAACTGAAGAGTCTATAGCCTTTGGATTTTGAGCTATAACCCACAAAGATGCATTTCTTACTATTTTCATCAAGCTTGTGCCTCACTTCTTTTGGAACATGAGCATAACAAATGGAACCAAACACCTTCAAGTGATTCACCGATGGTTTCCTTCCACTCCAAGCTTCAAATGGAGTTTTGTCCTTAAGAGCTTTTGTAGGACATCTATTCATCAAGTAAACTGCTGTATACACGGCCTCACCCCAAAAAGTTTTGGGTAGCCCCTTCTCATGTAGCATAAACTTGGACATCTCCTCTATAGTTCTATTCTTTCTTTCCACCACACCATTTTGTTGTGGAGTGTACCCAACAGTCAATTTCCTTTCCATTCCAATATCTTCACAAAATTTCATAAACTCATTTGAGTTGTATTCTCCGCCTCTATCACTTCTCAATACTTTCATCAAACAACCACTTTGTCTTTCAATAAGATTTTGAAATTTCTTGAAGATAGAGAAAACTTCACTCTTTTGTCTCATGAAATACACCCAAGTCATTCTAGTAAAATCATCAACAAAGATAATAAAGTATTTGTTACCTCCATGAGTTGGTGTATTCATAGGTCCGTACACATCGGTATGGACAAGCTCCAATGGTGCTTTAGCTCTCCATGCTTTCTCCTTTGGAAATGACTCCTAGTGATGCTTTCCAAGTGCACAATCTTCACAAATATGTTGCACTTCATGAATGGTTAGCAACCCAAAAACCATATTCTTTTGTTGTAGATGCTTTAAGCTTTGAAAATTCAAGTGCCCAAATCTTCTATGCCAAAGCCATGAATTATCAATCACATCCATCTTCAAAGCCGCTTTTTTGCTATATCGAAAAATGAGAGGAAAACTTCTATTCTTCCCCATCTTGATTTTTTCTATAACTTGGCTTCTCCCTCTGTCAAAAATTTTGCAAAAATCGTCTTCAAAGTGAACAAGGTATCCATGCATGATCCATAAGTTGTCCAACACTTAGCAAAATTTGCTCCAAGTTTGGAACTAAGAGAACATCATAAATGAATCTTGTACCCATCTTGGTTTCTATAGCAATAGTACCTTTTCCTTTTGTTTGGACTAAGGCACCATTCCCCATTTTTACTTGAGAACTAGAGGAAGCATCCATTTTCACAAAAATGCTTTCAACTCCAGTCATGTGATTGCTACATCCGCTATCGAGAAACCATACATCCTTGGTTTGATCCGATGCCTTGTGACAAGCATAGAACATATGCCCTTCACTTTCTTGCTCCTCGAAAAAATTAGCTTGTTGAGTGCTCTTGACTAGGCAATCCTTCTTGACATGCCCAAATTTGTTGCAATTGTAACATTTTGGCTTTCCTCGAAACCAACAATCTTTATCAACATGATTGCTTCGGTTGCAAATTCCACACTTTTGTTGAGTGGACTCTTTATTTTCTTTTCTTTGAAAATTAGACCTTCTTCTTCCTCTTGCATTTCTTGCTCTTTCGGTTGCTTTTCTTCCTCTTCCTCTTCCTCTTCCTCAGAAATTAGAGGTACTAACATTAAGCTTAGATTGAAAGGCACTTTCAATTGACTTTTCAGATTGCCTACTCAACCTTTGGTCAAATGTTTTAATTGAACCCATCAATTCTTCAATACTCAAATCAGTAAGATCTTTAGTTTCTTCAATGACAGCAACAATGGGATTATATTTCTCCGGCAAACTTATCAAAATTTTCACATCAACTCTTTGATTAGTAATATTATCCCCATAAATTTTCATTTGGTTTACAAGTTCTATAACTCTAGAAAAATAATCCT